CCTTAACAGCAACCCAGAAAATTATCTTCCAGAGTGGTCTTCTTGGGAGCCGAAGCTTTGCTGAATTCTCAAGTCTGCTCCCTATGATATTAGGGGTCATTGGGATAATGGAAAAGAAAATTGGAAACTACAGGGATAATAGGGGTTATATCAGGGTTATATTGCTTTCAATAATGGAGAATCAACTGGACAAGAAAATGGACAATGAAACGGAAATTGGAATTGTGTAGGAGTTTATAGAGATTATGAGCTATAGTCTAAACTCCTTGAAGGGGGTTATATAGGGGATTATATAGGGGAGTACTATAGGGGCTATTAAGGGGGGATACTAGGAGTTTAGACTATAGCTCATATGGAGCATGTCTTGGTTTTGCCATTAGAGGAAGATACAAGAATCTGGTTTCAGGGTCGCAGACATGACCCGAAGCTCTACACCCCGAACCCTCAACCCTAAACCCCTAAATCCTAAGCCCTACACCTTGAACCCACGGGCACAGACCTGTTTGCCCTGAACCCCTTTTTAATCCCACTATAGTAGTTTCCATTTTCTTTTCCATTATCCTCATCTATCCCCTAACAAACTCTACATAAACTACCCTAGAATCCCAGTTTCCATTTCATTTTCCATGTTCATTTCCATTTGATTGGAGCAGAGCTAGCTCCTGACGAGCATGAGGTGGCAACAGGACGGCTACGTCCTGCATCGTCTAACCCGCCTGTGCAAGGCTACGCGCCTCCGGTATGTCCTCAAGATTGGTTGCCTGGACTTGAAGAAAGGCAGATAAACAGCCACTGATAGATAGGAGACTAGTGACGTTTCACTGATGCTCAACAGCAGTTATCGCCCGCAAGGAGTAGAGCCCGCTCGCTCAGCGTTCAATTCAAAATTTGCATTTGATTCTCCATTATATAAGGGGATAATAACCTGAAACCCTAAACCCCAAACCCCTGATAATAACCCTAGGGGATAATAACCAACAATAATAATCAAACCCTCCCCTGGGAGGCTTGCCTAGCCGACTTCAAGAACTACCTTCGTCGGAAGTATGGCAGCTTCCTGCGCGCGTGGTTCAAGGCAGGACTCTGTCTTGGTTTAGGGTTTAGTTGGTTTAGGGTTTTAGGGGTTTAGGATTTTAGGGGTTTAGGGCTTTAGGGTTTATAGGGTTTAGGCATATGTCCCCAATAACGGAGAATCAAACAGAAAGAGCATGGACAGTGAAATGGACACTGGGGTTACATAGGGGTTTCGTAGGGTGTCATGGAATCAGATCATGATTTTCCTGTCATTTTTCTTATGGTAGGACCTTTAAGGTCTGCAGATGAGTGCCCCTACGGGCCCTAAACCCTAAACCCTATACTGAGCTGTAGTCTAAACTCCCTAAAGGGGGTTGTGTAGGGGCTGATATAGAGCAGTATTATACGGGTTCTTAACGGGGGATACTAGAAGTTTAGACTAAAGCTCATGTAGTGGCTGACTTGAGTACTATTTGCCGAACAAACTGACTGTTCTTCCTAAGTTTGGTCCATGAAGGTTCCAAGCAACATGCGCTTCCTAAGTTTGTTCTTTTAGGGTTCAGGGTTTAGTGTTTGGGGTTTAGGGTTAGGGTTTAGGGTTCAGAAGACAGAATCCCTAAACTTCCTTCTCCCACAACACCTTAAGCAGTTTCTATTAAAAATGCTTAGATGGGGAAGCTAGAATCTCACACCCTGCAGGGCCTAAACCCTAAACCCAATCCCCATAGAATCCCCATACACCTAGATAGATATCCCCTATGTATTCCCTGCCTAACCCCCAGCCTACTACCCTAAGTCCTAAACCTAAAACGCCAACCCTCGACCAGGCGCTGAGCCCAGACGGGGCCATGATCTTGCACCGCAGCGAGATTTTCAAGGCTTGGAAGATCATCATGTTCACAAATAAACCCTAACCCTGAACCTGTTGGGTTGAGGGGTTTAAAGGAGAGACCCGACTTTAAAAAATCAACGATCTGACATTATGTAAAAGAGTTTTCTTGGAGAAGGCTCCGTCGACTCAAGAACCGCTGGAATAACAATCCTTTTTGATTTTGTGAGTGCTTCTAACCTGCCTTTATGGGCACTAAGCCTACTCAGGGCTAAGAAGGGAATGAGAGAGAGAGAGAGAGAGAGAGAGAGCGCGATACACTTACTTAGCCAATAGAGGAACTTTAAACTTGTTGGGCTTCCTTTTTGGGTCTCTACGATAAAGTTTAAACGTGCTTAAATTTCGTTACTGGGGAGGCGAGTACATATACATATATACATATAGATATACATATATATATATATACATATGCGTGTGTGGGTGTGTGGGTGTGTGTGAGTGTGTGTGTGTGTGTGTGCGCGTGTGCGTGTGCGTGTGTGCATGTACCTGTATAAACATATGTGTATGCATATGTATAGGATTATATAGAGATTGTATTCCTTTGTTCCTTACTAAGAACCGCTAAGTAAAGAGGATAGCCAATCTGTGCACCAACAACATGCCCCTAAACCCCTAAACCCTTAAACTCGAAACCCCTAAACCCTAAACCGTCTGGCTTCTTGGTCCGATGCTTAGCAGAATGCAACGAGGCCTGTGCTCATCTGGGCTGGCCGGGAGATGTTCGGCTTCTCTTCTCTGCGTTCGACAAGGCCTACAGTCCCCGTTAAGTGGATAGAATTTAGAGGGTTTTGGGTTTTGGGATATAATCCCCCAAAGTAGAATACGGAATTGCCCAACATTATAGAAAGGTCCCTATACAACCCGTATTATATCTACTGAAGGGAGACTATGTAGCACTTGTAGTTGTAAGAGCAAGGGGAATGGCTCCAGGAATAGTACTCGTTATAGTACTAGTACAGTAACGGTGATGCTACTTCTACAAGATATTTAAAAATCTGAATTTTGGGGCGGTCGCTGTGTTTTAATGGCATCGTGGTATCTATTTTTCCGTCACCTTCTTGTCCGTCCAGTAGCTCCACTGGACGACGACCTCATACCCTGAGCGCCGTAGTCACATGGTGTGATTGTATCAGGTGGACGCGCACCTCAACCGCTTTGTAGTAACCATCCCTCGATAGGTAGGTATACGCCATAAAACTGTGGGCAATTTCGGGTTACAGGTATGGTTCAGGACGCCGGGGGAGCGTGCGATCAAGCAATGTAACGGTCTGTGCTAGCTTGTGCGCACCTGTAATAAATCCCTGTCCTGAGTTAGAGTTGAGGGGACTTGTGTTCAGAGGAAGGATAAGGCTTAGGGTCTAGGGCCTGGTGTTTAAGGTTATAGTCCCCCTTAGGTAGATAAGAATATGGGGTATATGGGGATCTTACTTTAATCTACCCAAAGCCGTACTCTACCTATATACTTAAGGGGGACTATACCCTAAACCCTCAACCCTAAATAGTAGTTTCCATTTTCTTTTCCATTATCCAAGTTAAGCCCCTACATTTTATCTACTTAAGGGGGACTATACACCGCAAGCCCTAAACCCTAAGCACTATTCTATCTACTTAAGGGGACTGAAGGCTTTTGGGTTCCTGAGGGTCTTTACCTGCGTTGACCTTGGCCGGGCCTCTGCTAACAAGAGAGTTGGGGCAATCCCAAGCCCTATAGAAGAAGGACCCTACAAGAGTCATGTGGTTGGTGTAAGGTTCAGGGTTCACATGGGGGGGTTCCCCAAATTACTAAGCCAACATTTCGCGCGTCGTGGGTTTATCGGAGAAAGCGAGAAAAACGCAAAAACGAGAAAAACACAAAAACACAAAAAAACAACAATAAAAACAAAAAACAAAAACAAAAAAAACGAAAACGCGAGAAACACGAGCGTTTTTTCGCATGTTTCGCATTTTTTCGCGTTTTTTTTCACGTTTTTCCGCGTTTTTTCAGTTTTTTTCGAGTTGTTCGCGTTGTTTGCGTATTTTGTGTTTTTCGTTTTTTTTGTTTTTCCTGTGATTTTTCGCGTTGTCGCGTTTTTTCTCGCTTCCTCCGCTTAAACCGAGACAACGGTTCAACTCATATAGAATTGAATAGAACATGTAGATATTGAAAATTATATCCTGAAAAAATGTATATATAATATCCTATACTCTATATTTATATCATATATCTTACAATATATTTATATGTATATATACTCTATATTTTATAAGCTACAATCCATAATATATAATATAGAACATATAGTATAGCATATATAATCTACGTGAAACGTATGCTGTATATAATATGTAAAATAATCTATACATTCCTAAATGTATTAAACAGTTGATAATATATGATATGATATAGTATACAATAGTAACGTACAACTCTTTTCATAACATCATATAATGGGTTATAACAACTTGCTGAAATAAGTTCTGTTATATTGCCGTTATTTTCGTATATTATCTTACAATATAAATAATGCTTGGTGATATACTATAATACACTATGCCTTGATATGATATGCTACAACAAACTAGAACATGCTATAATATGTTACAATATGCTACAACATATTATATTTTGCCATTGTATGCTTTGCGGATATTACAAGACAAGATTATATGCTACCGTATGCAAGGTGCTGTCAAAAGCTATAATATGCTTAGAAAATGGTACAATGACTGGTAATATGCGTAATCTACTGTAATCAACAATAATGCCTGAATACACCATACTGTTCTAGGTGGATCATAAGAAATTGTAATATACCAAAATACTATAATATACCATAATATGCTGTACGACTAGAATATGTTAGAATATGTTCTATATTACTGTAACCGGCTGTATAGTGCTGTAATGTATTACACTAGTCCATGATATATTATTCTTACTTTATTATATTAGTCTACTATAATACGCCATAGTATACAATACTATCATAGACAATAATATGCTCTAATACGTTGTAATATTCTATTGTATATTCTACCATATTCCAAAATTCTGTAATATATTCGAATAGTTTTTTACATACTATAATGTATTACAGTATACTGTATAATCTTCTAGACTATACTGCGATATATTATATTTTATTATATAATACGCTGCGATATACTGTAATATATCATAACATACCCTATGTTACGATATTCTCTAACGTGCTAGAATATCCTAGAATGTACTAGAATGTAATATGTATTCAAGCATCTTCTAGCATGCTAAGTAAACTATAATATGCTGTACTGTGTTATCATGTACTATATTTTAGAATAGTATGCTGGCATGGATTTCTGTATGCTGTAGTATGCAAATATGTTACATTGTGCTTTAATATACTATAGGTCATCTCAATATGTGCTTATATACAATCGCAAAACTACATCGTACCATAATGTACGGTCATCTACGACAATATGCTATATAACATGCTATAACATGCTATACGCGAAGGGTTTAGGGCTCTTGCGTTTGTTGTGGCTTACGCGTATTGTTGTGATTTTCGCATTGTTTCGCCCTTTTCGCATTTTTTTTCGCGCTTTTCGCGTTTTTCGCGTTTTTCGCGTTTTTCGAGTTTTCGCGTTTTCGCGTTTTTCGCGTTTTTCGTGTTTTTGTTTTGCGTTTTTCGCGTTTTCGCGTTTTTCGCGTTTCCTCCGGTTAAACCGAGACACGCAAAACGTTTCCACAGAAAGGGGGTACCATTTTGGGGGTCCCAATAAGAAGGATTGTAGTATCTTGGGGTCTGTATTGGGGTCCCCCCCGTTTTGGGAAACTACCGACCATATTAGTATAATGGGCATCGGGCGCTCATTTGGGGGCTGGCGAACCCAAAGTGCCATTAGTATCTACCATGGCTCCCCAACAATTAAAGAGGCTGTCTTCGCCTCGGGGCATGGGGTTTCCAACAATTAGAGGTCTGTCTATGGGGGGTATCCACAATCAGGGCTAGTGTATGAGAATGTTTGGGGGACAAAATGGGGACCCTAAACCCCCAACCCTGAACCCTAAACCCTCAACCCCAAACCATTCATTCTTGGAGATCCCCACGTAACTTAAAGTTGGTGACTGTTGCACTCCTAAACCAGGCCAGGCTCCGTGAATTCGCTCCCAGTACAGTAGCTTACATCTTCTTTTCCATTATCCTTATATAGCCCCAATATGAATATATATATATATACACACGTTATGATCCTCATATAACCCCTATATAATCCCTATATGAGCGACAAACCAAATTTCCGTCTCTTGAGCCATGTCTAACGTCAGTCAGAATTCCCCAAAATCATGCGTTTAACCAGTAAAACGAGATGGTCCCCCCCCCAAATAGCGAGATCGGCCCTCTTTGTGGTTGAATGCAAATTTGTTGGAAAACGATTCAAGGCCCGACCCTAGTGCTGTAAAACGAGATAGTAGATCTGGTCAGTTGGTCTGAAGCCTAGTGGGAACAAGATGTTCCCGCCCAACATGCTCCGGAATATGTAAAAGAAGATGGAACGAGATTGCAGCACGAGTATGGGAATTTTGACCATAGGCCAGACAACAAATTTTGTCCGCTGCTCATATAACGCCTATATATGCCCTATAATCCTTCTGTAACCCCTATATAATCCCTACTATAGTAGTTTCCATTTTCTTTTCCAGTATCCAATAAACCCGACCTAGCCTGAAAGGACAACAGCGGCTACGTGTCCATCGAGGATCACCTCTCCAGAGAATGTCCCACAGTTCCCACAGCCTCTACGAGTAACTCTTATTTCACGAGTGCTTCATCTTACTTATACCTAGTCTCTTCAGGGTTGTTTGCACATGCATCTCTCTCGATGATTGAGGTAGAATAGTTTAGCTCTTCTCAGTGAGAGAAGGCCAGGCATGTTTGAAAGCTTTGACACAGAGCTACACAGAGGGCAGTGACCCTTGGTTTAAGGACCCGGGAGATAAACGAAAAATTGACGTGATCTTGACATCAGGGCTTAGGAGTTACGAGTCAGTCAGGAGATTTGTGCGTAATTTTCGGATTCTTCTACACCTGTTTTTGTTTCTGTGGCTGGTGCTGTCACTTCATAAACTCCCCAAACCCTTAGCCCTAGACCTTCATGTTAATTCTCCAGGAGCAGAAGGTGCAATAGTCTCAAAAGCCCACCCCAATATATCATAGTAGTTTCCGTTTTCTTTCACATTATCCCAATATAACTCATTTTCTTATAGTCGTTTCCATTTTCTTTTCCATTATCCTCCCAGTAAGTAGTGGGGAGCCTCTTGGAACCAGATTTGGCCCTAATCCTAAACCCTAAGCCACCAACTTCGAGCCTTACACAGTTCTAGAGCTCGAGAAGCGTAAATCCTCTGCTGCACCCTAGGGTTTTGGGGTCTAGGGTTCAGGGTTTAGGGTTTTGGGGTTTTGGGTTTTGAGGTATAGGGTTCAGGCTCAATTTCAGGCTTGTGAGTGTTGTCAAAAGTAACTACTGCGAGGAGCTCGATGCTCGGGCGGCTGAACTGCTTGCACACTTCCATGACTTTATCATGAGCACCTTGGTGTACGTAAATGGAGCTTCTCTGGGGCCCTCGAGTGTTTGGGGTTAAGGGGTATGCACGTAGCTGGGGCCGAGGACTTTTTGAGGCAGAATTTTAGGGTTTAGGGTTTAGAGTTTACCCCTAAACCCTAAACCCTACACCCTGATCCAACTATAGGAACTACTTGGCTGCAGCCCGAGCGAAGCAGACCCAGCGAAGTGAATTCTCATCCTGGGACCATAAAACCTATAGTCCCCCTCCTTAAGTAGAGGGTTTAGGGTTTAGGGTTTATAGTCCCCCTTAAGTAGATAGAATATGGCTTTGGGTAAATTATCATAAGATCCCCATATACCCCATATTCCATCTACTTAAGGGGGACTATAAGCCCAAACTTAAACCCCGAATCCCAGACCCTGAAATCTGCCCAATCCCGAATCCTACACCTTAAGCCACATATCTGCGTACATCTACATATAAGTTCGTACCTATCCCTATACAATCGCTATATATCCCTGTGAAAGGGACTAATAGCCCCATCCAGTTGCCTCAACCTTTTGGTCTCCTCATCTTCGCCCCGTCTACAACTCTACATGGGGATCAGGAATGTCCCTGTGAAAGGTGGATCTAAGGGGTACTTAGGTGTACAGGGGCAACTTAAGTTTATAGGCTTTATCCTACCGCGGCAGCCATGTTCTGGAGGACTCCGAGGTATCCAGCAGCTGGCAAGTCTAGGGGCCTCGAAGCCTCGAAAGGCCCAGCCCCATGCAAGCGCCAGAAAAGCTTGAGAACACGTCCCCAAAGCCCTAAACCCTGAGCGCTCAACCCTAAGCCGTAAGCCCATAGCCCTAAGCCCAAAGCCCTCAACCCTAAACCCTTACAACACTTAGTGCCCGGATGCCAGGTGGCAAATGAATGGGTACATGGACCCTTCGTGTAAGTAACCCTAAACCCTTATGTATCCTAACATCCCTTCATTTTGGAACCCTGAGAAGCCCTAGAGCCTAATTCCCGTCTGTACCTATGTATGTATACATCATAAGTATCTCTTTCCCCCCCTCAGAAGCCCGATACTCTAAGGGCCAAGCCTTAGAGATGGCTCATGTCTGTAATGGCATTAAAGTCTTTAAGTACTGGATGCCCTGGGCCCTAGGCCCCTGCACCCAAAACCCCAAGCCCTGTATGGTGGTTTCCCTAAAGTAAGGGGGACCCCAATATAGACCCCAAAATATTATAGTCCTTCTTATGGAGACCCCCAAGATGGTATCCCCAAGTTCAGGAAACCCTAAACCCTGAACCTTGCATAACCCTTATAAGCCCCTTTGAAGGTATAGGGTTGAGGGTTATCGAATCCCATACTCCCAAGAAAGCTGAGGTAAATTTGGGAATGCCTCTGCCGCCTTCAAGGCTTTCGACAGATACAATCAGACCCTTTGCCTAAATCCTAAGGCCTAAGGGTCTAGATAAGGGACGGTTTAGGGTTCAAGGCTTAGGGTTTAGAGTTTAGGGTTTAAGGTATGCAGAGAAGGGGTTTAAGGTATAGGACTGGGTTTAGGGTTCAGGATGATGGGCTTAGGGATACGAGATTACAAAGGGTTATTATCCAGGGCTTATTGTTCAGGATTATCTAGGGTTTCGGGTTTGGTGATAGTATCCTGTAGAACGGAGAGCCGAAAGGGCTTATGGGGATACTTGCCAGTATATCATGGTGCTAGATTCCTTTGTGTAGTCATGGTATAGCGCACCATGGCCTCAAAATCTGTTTGGTCATTATTTTGGTTTGCGCAGTATCTCGAGATATGAAGTAGGAGCAACATGTGAGAGATGTTCGGACAGTGGTGCGTTCTGCAGGGGCCGCCGCTTTCGGTCATGCCTGTCTCATCATCCGGCTTCTCTACAGCTACCATGGATGATTCTCATAGCATAGCTTCAAAGGGCTCATGGGCTCATGAAGAAGCGCGACCTTGCCTCTTACTGAGGTTGCTCCTACTAAATAGCGTTGGGCTTTCGATTTTACGGCTAGTGGGGTAGGTCCTCAAGCGGCGAGCCGGAAATCATGTCTGCCGACAACCCCACACGCCAAGGAAGAAGCTGAAGCAGCATGAGTTCATCAGCCAGGCGGGTTTAGGCTATAGGGTTTAGGGTTCAGGGGTTTAGGGGCTTAGGGGTTTAGTGTTCAGGGTTTAGGGGTTTAGGGTTTGGGGGTTTAGGGTTTAGGGCTGTTCTCAACCACGACACCTCGGTTTGCCTACACGGGGGGGGGAGGCTCTACACGACTAGTAGACTCAACACTCCGAGAGCTGCTTGGAGCAATATGAGCTGTAGGCTAAACTCCTTGAATGGGGTTATGTTAAGGATTATATAGGGGATTATCATAGAGATTATTAAGGGGGATACCAGGAGTTTAAGACTGTAGCTCATATGGTGGACTCTTCATTATTGGCATGAGGGGAGTCGGTATTCAGTGAGTGGCAGCATGCGGAACCATGCAATGTTCAAGGGTAACTGTTGCATGAACAGCGGTGTATCATTGCTATTGCTCGCACGAACAGGCTAACTTGCCTGAGGCATTGTTTGTAATTTGAGCAGCGCTAGTATGTCTAGGACTACCATTGCGTGTTTCATCAAGCTTCCTGAGCCACGCCCATGTATCTATATATCACTGTTTCTTATACCATTTGCACTGCAGGGAGCTTTTTATAACCCTTTATGTTCCCCCTTATGGCATTTACGCTTGGGGCCTGTACTTCGAGACAAAGTTGAGACACCTAGGACCCTAACCCCTATATCCTATACGCTACGCCCCGATCCTAAATCCTCAAGCCTGAATTCCGAAAGAGCTTGTGGAAAGAAACCCTACAGACCCTTCTCACTGTGCAGAGCCCTAGACAGCGTACACTTGCAATGTTGTCCTTCTAGAAAACCATATACCCTCATAGCTCCCTCGATGTCCTTTCTTCACATATATAAAGACCTTTTAAACCAGACCCCTAAAGGGTCCCACGCAACTGGAACCTCCTGATAACCTCCACGCGGTTTATTGTCTAGTGTTCAGGGACCCAAAACCCTAAACCTTTAGTAGTTTCCATGTTCTTTTCTACTATCCCAATGTAAACCCTAGAGTTTAGGGATTAGGCTTCCTCAACATAGCAATTGGCTCCCCTTTTTTTGTTGGTGGGGGGGGCGTTCTTTTTTTGTTGGGTCCTCTTTAGGGGGTGGGAAGGAACCTTTCTTTATCCCTGTAGTCGCCCAAGAAAGAACCAACAAAAATCCCTTAGACCTTAAAGCCCCTGCTCGTGGTGCAGGCCTTGTAGACTCCTATATCACCCCCACACAACGAATTGAAGGGGCCCTATATGCCCTACACAGCCCCTCTGAAGGGACCCTAAACCTTAAACCCTCAACGCCAAACTGCATAAACCCTATGCACCCTTGATAAGCGCTTTATACAGCCTCTGAACCCTAAAGACCTTAAACCCCAAGGCCTACACCCCAAACCCTAAACCTCAAACCCCAAAATCGAAACCCCAAACCCTAAACCCTTCTCTGCGCAGGTGCAGAGCCTATGTAAAGCGTCTATAAACCCCTTATAAACCTTATACAGTGCAGGTGAAGAGCCAAAATAAACCCTCCATGAACCCTCTATAAACCCTACAAACCCTTCATAGATTCCCTATAAACATGTTATAAACCCTTGGTAATTTTTTTAAAATCCCTACACAAATCCTATAAAGTTCTATAAAATCCTATATAGGACCCTTAGATATACCGTATAAACCTTTCACAAACCCAATAAAGTGCAGGTGAAGAGCCATGGCTTCGAGCATCCTGCCAAGCTCCTCTTCCATGGCCTGGATCGCAAAGAGATGAAGGCCCTGCTTTGGGAAGATGCCTAGGGTTTTGGGTTTTGGGTTTGAGGTTTAGGGGTTTAGTGTTTTGGGATTTGGGGTTTAGGGGTTTCGGGGGAGATGTCTAGGGTTGGAGGTTTGGGGGGAGGTAGTGTTTAGGGTTTGGGGTTTAGGGTTTAGGGGTCTGGGGTTTTGGGGTTTTACTTAGGGTTTGGGTGGGGTCATTTAGGCTTCAAAGGTGTAAAATTGCTAGGGTTTGAAGGTTTAGGGGTTTGGGGTTTAGGTTTTGGGAGTTTAGGGTTCTCGGGATTTGGGGTTTAGGTTTGGGGTTTAGGGTTTTGGGCTTGGGGATTTGGGGTCTAGAGTGTAGGGTTTTGAGGTTTAGTGTTTAGGGTTTCAGGGTTAGGGTTTGAGGTTTAGCTTTGGGGTGTAGGCTCTAGGGGATTAGGATTCGGGATGTAGGATTTACGGTTTAACGTTTAAACATAGGATGCGGGGTATACAAGGTCTTCCGGGGATTCGTAGGCAGATTTGGGGGCTAGGGCTTTAGGGTGCAAAACTTGGCCCTTAGCATGATCGCATATGCTGGGTTCCTTATATACGGCGTGTGTACAGGAAAGCTATGTACATTAAGGGCCCTTAAGATGTAGGGCTTCAGTTTCAGGGCTTAGGTTCTCCATGCTTCCTATTTGAAGCACTTGACGGCGGGGAAGTTAATGGTTTCTGGGGTTAAGCACGTTCAAAACGTGCCACACTCATTTGTTGCCAGCAAACTTCGTTCTTGTGGCCTTAAGTTCCTTCTACAATTGCCGAGGACTGATGAACTTGTTTCAGATTGAAAACATCGATGTCGGGAAAGTCTATCGTAGTATACTATACTCATATACTATACTAATGTACCACAGTGTATTACATCAACCCTAAACCCTAAACCCTACACTATTGAGTGGGCACAAGCAGCGAGGTAGCTGGCCTGCCTCAAGGAGCATGGGAGCCTAGATGGGCATGACAAGACACCAGGTTTGGGTTTAGGGTTTAGGGTTAAGGACCCAGGCATGTAGCAGCATGGTGAACTTGCTGCCCGAAAGCGTAAACCATGGTGAAACGAAAGTTTGTCAACGTGATGTTTCTAATAACGAATGATTATCCCAAACAAGGACACCCATAACCTCGGTATAATCCCGGAGTATCTCTATGATCCCTATGTATTCCTGGTGTCCTTGCGAAGCCCTGTTCCTGAGCAGCCCACACCTTGAGGCAGTGATGATGGATGACCTTCTTTTCCTTGACCGCTGGAAGCCGCCAGCATTTCTCACTCGCACCCGGGCTCCAAGGGCTTCGGACCGCCAAACCCAAACCCTAAACTGCTTCTGAAGCGTACTTTAGGCTAACATAGGATTGTATAGGGATAATGGAAAAGAAAATGGAAACCACTACCCAAACCCCAAATCCTGAAATCCTGGCTACTTCTGCAGTAGCATGTCTGATTTGGATGAACCCTGTGGAGGGGCCGGGTGCAAGTCAAAGTTGGCCATACCTGTGACTCCATTTACTTACAGCGTAATGGTAGCAACTCCCGAATTAGTAGGTATAACCTATAATTAAAACTGTAGGTAATCGGGGGTACCGAGCCCTTAATCCTAAACCGTATATGCCTATAAAAACCCTATAAGTTAGCCATACACCGCCTAAACCCTAAGCCAGGATTCGGGGTTCTTCTGCCTTGAGGCACTGCCAATCCGCAGGCCATGGAGGAGTTCAAAGCGCTGCTTCTGGATTGAATTGGGTTTAGGGTGGGGTTTGGGGAAGGAACATCTTTGGGGCTTGCGACACCTTTAGAACCGGGCTATATGAGCTTCCATGTTAGTTCGGGGGAGGGTAGGGCTTGCTAGTCCTCACCTGGGGGCCTATTGGTTGGCTCTTCTTGACCTAGGTTCTGCCTGCCTTTGGCCTTCTACTTCCTGCGGCCTTCCAGTTTCTAACAGTCTGCTAGTAGTTTCCATTTGCTTTTCCATTATCCCTACATAACCCTATATTACATCATATTATCCCAACACTACCGACCAGTTTCTACCAGTCTGTTTATTGTAGTGCCATCCGTGCTCGGCAGATTTGGAGTTTAGCCCCACTCCGGAGGTCTGCGGTCTTGTTGCATTCGCCTTTTAAGGGGGGGAGGTAATATTGGCATGCTATAGGGTACTATTGAGTAATATAGGTTTGTATAGGGATAATTGGTAGGTAATATTGGGATACTATAGGGCATTGTAGGGCTATATAGGGATAATGGAGAAGAAAACGGAAACTACTCTTGAGGGTTTTGTGTTTAGCGTTTGAGGGTAATATAGGGTTATATAGGGCAAATGGTAAAGAAAAAAATGGAAACTACTATCCTAAAACCTAAACCCTTCCTCGGCGAATGGAAGAAGTAAACATGGATCAGTCCAGGCTAGTGCGCAACTACAAGAACTTCCTCAAGGCATGGCGTCACTGCCTGGACCAGGACTCAGACTGGTTTAGGGTTTAGGGCTTTAAGTTTTTAGGGCTTGGGGGTTTAGGGTTTTAAGTCAACATCCAGTCTTAATCTGGGCACCCTGATGTTCTTTTCTGATGCTTCTGACAGAATTACCAGAGCGATGAGTTTGCGGATGCTGTAGTGAATTCAGACGAAAACATACATTCGAAAGTTAAATCCGTATATAAGCGTAGCATGTACCCCCAAAGGACCCGATTCTAACTCTTGTGCAGTGCGCCTGTTTCCCGCCTTGGCAAGAAGTGCAAGGGTGGGAAACTGGTACAAGCCCTCTCATTACATAACTGCTACCAGAACCCCGCACAGTAGGTAAAATAACAGCCTTTTGGGCTGGTGATTCATGGGATTTGGGCCATTAGTTTATCTAGTTTTGAGGTTCAGGCGGGTAAGAAGACCAAGATATAACCAAGTAATATCCCGTAAAGCTTCCAAGCGTTCATACTACTACTGGATAAGGTTAGTGGTTGAATAGTAGGCCCACCGTGTTAAATGAGTATACTGCTCAATTCCAGAACCACCGTTTATGGGATTTTGACCCTACTTATCTCCATCAGAACCCCCTTAGAGCCCAGCTTTGAGCTTGGGGTGGGAGCTTTACATGTAAACGTGCAACGTGTAAGAGCCACAATGCGCAGGCTATCGAGAACTTTGGTCATCAAGTCTCTGCAGCAGATGCTCTTGATACCTCGCGTGCTGTGTCCATGCAAGACACAGCCCAGTGCAATCCTAGGACAATAGGAGTACGGAATGGCGCTGGACAATGTACCACAAAACAGCTGGAAGTCATATCGCCCTCAGCGGCCCGAACAGGACTCCAGCAACCGTTGCAACTTTGACGAGTTTGATGCAGCTTGCCAGAAGCTGAAATTCAAAGGCCTGGTGGGGATCGGGGAGTCGACGGCCATCACAACTTGATGCCCAGCATCATGGTGGGTTTGCAGGAACACTGGGTCATATTTTTGATGTTTCTTTTTGCTGGCATCAGCCTTGTTCAGAGGTCATGTAGGTGTTAGAAGCTGGCGTCGTCGACAAGCAGACTGCCCAGACAAGCAGCTCGCGTCGGGTGTCTTCCGTTTCATATCCGCACCTTACAATGGCGGGCAGTATCATGATGCGTTGTTATCCTTATGCGGTGCTGTTCACTGGAAGCAAGTTGCCACGTGGCCCTCAGCTCAGCCAGCAGGAATCAAGCAACTAGGGCTCCAAGCACAAGCTCCAAGAACTAAGACCTGCCTTGGTGCTGGCCAGCACATGCGAGGTGGGAACCCCCCTTAGTTCCATGACTACTTGCTGTATATGTGTACTGCATATGTATTGAAGAACCCCAGGTGCCCCATTTGTAACCCAAGTCAACATGCCGACGGCATTTCATTACAATCCTTATAAAACTTTCGTAGAATGGATCCCAAAACCAGATTTTAATTGAATACGCCCTATACAACCCATTCCAACCCCCGTGCCCAGGCAATTGTCCACCACATTTTCTACTTGATTACCCACTATTCTGCTTATTGAGGCCCATAAACCATCAATCCTGAACCCAAACCTCGAACTCCTACACACCCCACCCTCATGGTTCCTTTGTATCCCCCTTTTCAGGATGCCAGTTGGTGTTTAGTGGACCCCCAAATGCTATCCCATTGTTTAAGGATCTTCCCTGAACCCTTAACCCTAAACCTTGGTGGTGTTTTTGGAGGCGATATTGCTGGAGCCTGGAGGGCACTGGATGAGGATCTCTCCGGCTACATCACTCTGCAGGAGGGCTTAGGGCTTACACCTTAGGATCTAGGTTTTGGGGCTTCTGGTTGAGGATCTTTGGGTTCTAGGATTTAGTGTTTAGTGCTTACGATTTTTTCTTGGTGTAATATGCCTAGACTCAATATAACCACAGATAGCCCTATACTTGTGCTTTAACAGCTTTGAAGCCCCCAATCCTAAACCCTATACCCTAAACGATCCCATGGCAGTTTCCATGTTCCATTCCCTTGTGTTCCCTTAGCCCTAGGGATCCCCCACCTAAACCCTAAACCCTAAACCCTAAACCCCCAGGAGATCGATCCAGCATCCTCCAGCGCCCTCGCCAACTTCCGGAGGTGGGACAGCCCCAGCTGCTCCGCCTGGATTGCTAACATTAGGGTTCAGGGTTTAGGGTTTAGGGTTCAGGGTTTAGGGTTTAGGGTTTAGGGTTCAGGGTTTGGGTTTAAAGGAGTAAAACTAGCATTGTAGAGGTTATGTAGTAGGGTGGTATAGGGGTATGGAGTCCCTAACGGGATTATGTCGGGATTGAGGGTCCCTTGAAATCTATGAACAAGAATTCGGGCAGCTGTCCCAAGATTCGTGTGACTGCTGCAGGGTTCCAGAACGGCTACGCAGACAACACTTATGTCTTCCGTGACGAGATACTAACAGGTGCTATATAGGATGCAAAGAGTATAGCGTGTACGTACAGCCGTTAATGCTACCCCTCATCTTAGATTGTAAGGGTGAGGCAGTTCGCAAAGGCTATAGCAATGAATGGTGCATGATCTTGCTGTGGTGTTTGGGCTGGGATGAGCCTCTGAACCCATGTCTCACCACTGATTGTCATGTTTCATGATGCAAGGTTTTTGCAGTGGCATTACATTGGTTCAGCATCCGTGGAAAGTTTGCAGGTGGTGCGATGAGGAGTTTGGTAGTGTACGCTCTGCATTCAGCGTTTTCGACAACAGCGGCGACAACGAGGAGACTTGCCAGCAAAGAGCCGATCTCTCCCCTAATATTCAAGGAGAGGGGATTATGGCAGCTACAGGGTGTGCGTGGACATTCAGGAGCTGAAGGCAGGTGATACGGTATGCTCAGGTTGTCCAATGGGCAACCTGCCAGTTTCTTGAGCAATGCAAAACTCTAAACCCTGAACCCTAATTGCACACCCACATGTTATCCTTGTAGCAGCCACCGGTACCGCACATCTAAGTTGTTTTGGGGGGGGCCACAGACAAGTTTGTAGCCATCCATGGATCGTGTAAGCGTGTTCGGTAGGCGATGGAGGAATGGACCGCTAGGGTGGTCTCAGCGGAAACCCCTATACCCAGTACTTCCTGATTTCTTTTTCTAGCCAGCTTTAGGTGAAGCTGGTAGGTCTTGCAGAATGTTCTGCGAGGTGAACTACCGCGAGTGGCGGCGGTCCTTGCGGTTCTACGGCTTTGAGGGCGACGCCAGCACTTTGTGCCTTTCCTCAATCCCCGACTTCTGGGTGGCTCTAAGAACAAGATCCCCTGCAATATATGTTCTTAATATCCCTAGACACCTCCCCGATTCTCCACATCATTCCTCCAGGGGCTCCAGCTCTTGAAGCCCCAGGGCTCTCGGAATGAGGTTCGGATCAGAGGTGTTCGGCAGGAGACACAATGGCAAGAGATTGTAAGCAAAATTCCTCTGCAGCCGAGCTTTATGTTTCGGCGTCTAGCTTGAGGTTCTATGCTCTGGATGTCGAGCGAAGCGGCACGCTGACTCTGCAAGAGGTAGAATTCTTGGACGATGCTTGGCAACATGCCATGCTTGAGGTTAGGGGCTTTCAACAGGAATAATGGTTCTTGTAGTAGTAATAGTAAGAGCAGTCATAAGATTTATGATGATAGTAATGATTATAAGAATAGTAATTTTAGTAGTACCTGATATACAGTTGATGATATTAATCATAGTAATGGCAGTACAAATAGTAGCTGCAAAAGGTGTCGCGGCTCAGATTCAGGGTTCCAGGCTTCGTGGCCCGAATTTTGTGGTCGAGTGTTTTTTTTTTTTTTTTTTTTT